GGGGAATGTCCTTTATGGTTTTAAGGCTGATCTCTTCAAGGATTATTATAGTTTGGACTCAGCCATCTCTTACTGTGTTCTAGCTAACACAAAAATTAGAAAAACTAGACTATGCCTAGGTATTCTAAAACATTACAAATATTTTGAAACTTGTTTGCAAAAAGATGTTTCACACCTTCTACGTAATATCATTGCTCACAGTGTTTGCCTTCTGCTACAGTAAAGTCTGTATTCTCTTTTCCATTTTTGCCCATTTTTCTTTATTTGTAAAGGAATATTTAAAAGTAAGTTACCAACATATTAATAAAGAAAACTGTTCACCAAAAGTTCATGGGAAATGTAAATGGACATAGGCATCATCCTCAGTTCTCCATTCATATGCGTCTTCTTCCAAATGCAGGGCCCTCAATGAGTGTTGCCTGACTTCCAGTGACCTGTCTATAGGCTTTTTCAAAAGTTTTGAATTCCGTTAAAGTAGCTGTTGTGAATTATTTATCTTTTTATTTCCAGTGCCTAGCACATAGTTGGCATATAATAAATGTTTGTTGACTTGAACTTTTCAAAATTGAATTTGGAGTCTAAAGACTTGATCTTTTTAGTCTAGCTCTCCTACTCACTAGCTGTGTCTTTTAGCAAGTTCTTTTCATGTTCTAGGCCATCATTTCCAACTCTAGAGTAAGATTCTATCTGGTTCTAGGAAATATGATGCCAAAGAGGGCATATAGTAGTGTTCAGTAATTGCTTACTCATATTGTTTGCTTAGTAAAATTCATTTGCAGAAGCAAATCAATTTGCCAAGAAGATCTCATCTCATTTTGTGACTCTGCCTCCCAGAAAGAGACATATTCTTTCATCTCCAACTATATTCTTGCACTAGTATTCCTTATAGTTTGACCATTTTTTTTCTCTTATGGAATGAAAGATGAAGATGGATTGAATTGCCTAGATATGTAATCCACTTCATCATTTTACAGATGAGAAAATTGGTGCTCTGGAAGGCTTATACATGTTGTCCAGAGTTATTTAATGGCAGAATTAGAACCCAAGTATCATGATTTCTGTTTGAGTGCCTTTTCCACCTCAAAAATCTTTAGGTGTTATTAGTAGTTCCTTGGGATAAAGACTGAAGAAGAAATGATCAAAATAGCTAAATTTTTCTGTGTGGTTCAAAGAGGTACATGGAAAAAAAACCCTCTTCTCAAAATTTTATTATAGGACAACCATTTTTGTGCCTCACTTTCTGAAAAGTACAGTAAGGAAAGTAGGAAAACATAAAAATTGTAAGTTAGTTTATAAAACTATTCTGTGACCGATCCTTTCTCTTTCCTGAGAAATGACAGAGAATAAAGAAAAATGTCACAATGGTTGAACTGTAGCTTATAAGTCTACCTTCATGTTTTTCTTTACCTTTTTTTATAAACCCAGGGCATCCTCACCTGTATAATATAACAGCACAGTAGATAGAAACAGACACTGCTCTTGAGGTTACATTAAGGAATAACCAGTATTTTTTTGCTGTAAAAATCCTTAACCCCCCCCCCTTCCAGTTGCTTTCCACTCATTTTTGTTCCTCTAACATTGCCGTCGGTAGCACAGATTTTTTTTTTTTTTTTTTTTTTCTTGAAGAGCACAGAGAAGACATTTCATACAGTTGGGAAAAGAACAGTTTGGGATCAGGACATATACTCTACAAGGGGTGACACTTGAGATTTTAAAGAAGGTTAGAAGCCAGACTACGAGGCAGTTTAGGGACAACATTCTAGGCAGAAGTGACAGCAAGAGCAAAGCATGAAAAGAAGGAACAGCTAAAAGTAAAGTGTAAGTATGTTTGGTTTGAGGGCTTAAAATGTGAAGCAAAGATTGATAGCAGGTGAAGCTAGACAGGGCAGATCCCCCAAAAATACCATGTTAAAAAGATTACATTTAATCCTCTAGGCAGTGGGGAGGTTTTAAGGGATTTTTTTTTAATGAGGAAGGGATAATAGGGTCAGATACTGATTTTAGATAGTCTAATAGGTTTATAAAGAATGATTATATTAGTTATCTAAGAATACATAACAAATTATTAAAAAAAGAAAACCAAAAACCTAGTAGCTAAACTAACAGGCATTATCTTATAGTTTTTGGTTCAGGAACCTGGTCATAGCCAGTGAGGCTCCTTGGCTGAGAGTCCTTCACAAGATGGCAGTCAAGGTGTCACCCAGGGCTACAGTCAATTCAAGGTTCATATGGGGGGAGAATCTACTTCTAAGCTCACTGAAATGAAGTACTGAGGTCCTTTTGGACTATTGGACTGAGGGTCTCAGTTCCTCTAAGAGGTATTCCTCAGTTCCTTGTCACTTAGGCCTCTCCACAGAACAGCTCACAACATGGTAGCTATGCACAATGTGAGAGAGCAAGAGAGCAGGGTGAGCGAGATGGAAGCCAGAGTCTTTTAACCTGATTTTAGAAGTGCCATGTCCTCACTTTTGCTGTACATTATTCAAGTCATCAGGCCCTAGCTTTATTTAGGTCACTAGGTCCTAACAAGTTGCTGGGTCCAGCCCATACTCAAGAGTAGGGGATTACACAAGAACATGAATATTAGGGAGGTGTGGGCCATTGGGATCCAGTTTGAAGCTGCATATCACAATGGACTTGAAATAAGACTCGAGGCAAAAATGGCCCACTTAGGAGGCTATTATAATAATCCAAGTGAAGATATAGAGATTACTGTAGATGTGTGTAGTAGAATGAAGGGAAAAGAACGGAGGCAAGAGATATTTAGGATGTTAAATCCTGAGAACTTAGTGATTTAGAGCATGGAGGTTTTAAGAGAGAAGAAGGAATTAAAGGTGGCATCTAGTTCTTACATAGCCTCTTAATCTGACTAAAGAATATTTTCCCTTAAATGTGACTTAACCTCCTGTCCACCTTGAGTTTTTCATCTTCACTACTGCCATCCCCTACATGCTTTTTGTCTTTTGAGCTTTTCCTTGATGTCACTTTACTATTTCTTCACTAATCCAGTTAGACACTACTTATTTCTGTCCATATCTGTTTAATTTTCCTAGTTGTCTCTGTTCTTATCTTACTCTCATTATCCAAGTACTTATCACTGTGCACTTAAGGTGTGGAAACTGTCTTAATTGCTTCCCTCTGCCCATTTTCCTATCTTTAATCTAGAGTCTAAAACATCTAATATTTGCATATCTCTCATTGATTTAACCAACTAGTATTTATTGTGGGCCGACTCTGGAACCAGCACCTTACTAGGCCTCCCTGAGGAACGTAATCGCGAGGACAACAAGCACCGTCTCTGTTCTCATTGTCTTTATTCTTTGAGTGTCTCCTCTTCCTCTCTACCAGTCAGAAGAAATATCAGTCATTTTGGGGGATGCCTGGCTGGTTCAGTCAGAGGAGCATGTGACTCTTGATTTTGGAGTTGTGAATTCAAGCCCCATGTCAGATGTAGAGATTACTTAAATAAAAATAAAACTTAAAAAAAAATCACTAAATTTTAAGGTACATTTCATCTTCTACCTATCTTGACATATGTAATGTTCCTTTTGTATCTGTCTCCTACAGCTATAACTAGGAGGGGTTTTACTTTGGAAATGTTGTGACTCTCCGAAGTTTAAAAGGGAGCACTGGGCTTAAGCCATTAGTGTAAGGAAGCTATTTCTGACATCTTCTGTCAGTCTGCTTCAAGCGGTAGAGCTGTGCCTTGCCACCCTCACCCACTGGAATCATGTGGAGCGGTTTTTAAAAACATGCATGCGTTGGAGCACTGGGTGGTTCAGTTGGTTGAGTGTCCGACTCTTGGTTTTGGCTCAGGTCATGATCTTATGGTTTGTGTTTGAGCCCCCGTATCAGGCTCTGCGCTGACAGCATGGAGCCTACTTGAGATTCTCTCTCTCTCTCTCTCTCTCTCTCTCTCTCCGCCCCCCCCTTTCTTTCTCTCTCTGTCCCTCCCCTCCTTGTGCTCTCACTCTCTCTCAAGATAAATAAAAACCTAAAAATTAATAAAAAAATAAAAAGATGCCTTGACCTCCCCTCAAAGAAAGATTCTGACTTAATATGTCAGAAATGAAAACAAAGAAGGCTCTAAGCTGAATCTGATGTCTAGGTACGTAAGAGAACTACTGCAATAGAAGCACCTTCATCATTATGCTGTTAATTGTTTTGTGTACAGTTAACCATCCAAATAGCTTAAATCAGTGATTTCCAAATACTGGTGAAGGACTAGCTACAGCGATGCATAGATACCCAGGCCCTGTCACTTTTGCTGATACACTACATCTGTGTTATATCCAGGCTTCCCTGTGTTTTATTTCTTTAATTTCTTTAATCTTTTTTTTTCTTGAAAGAGAGAGAGCGAGCGAGCGAGCAAGGAACAGAGAGAAAGAGAGACACAGAATCCAAAGCAGGCTTCAGGCTCAGAGCTGTTAGCACAGAACCTGACCCAGGGCTCAAACTCCTGAACTGTTAGATCACAACCTGAGCCAGAATTGAGCTATCCAGGCACCCTTCTCTATTTTTTAAATAATGAAAGAAGACTGATATATAATTGGGCAGGAAAGTTATTGGATAAATGGACCAATATACCATATTAATTTTTTTGTAATTTTCTTTACAATACTCTTCAGATACACACATGTAAATATTTGGTAAACATCAAGGACCAGTCAGCCATGATATGCTTTATAGATTACACTGGAAGATTCTGGTCAGTTGAAATCATATTTTAAATAGCAGTTGAATGACTCCTATGTTTAGATTTTTAGATGCTTCAGTACTATTCAGCGGTATAGTTCCCTGTTTCATATGTTGGCTCTTTTATTTTCAATAAGAACTTAACGATCACAGGAAAAATTTAGAACAATGACTTGATTCTTTTTTCCTCATATTATTCTGATAAATCTTACTATAGTCTAGTATAGAAAGGTATATTATTACTTTCTTGCAGAATGGGATTGTCAGAATGTGGATTTAATAAATGTTTTCTTCCTTTTCTTTAGTGTTATTCCTCTTTTAAGAGAATCTGTTGGCATATTAATGCAGCGGACCCCTCCGGTGTTGGAAAATACTCTGCCTCAGTGCTATCAGAGGGTAAGTTTCAGAGCTCCCAAGCCATTAGATTTTATGTTGTTTCCAAGCTGTTAGGGTTTTTAACTTTTACAAATATGGGAAGCATATGTGTATAATTTAGTATTTCTTCCAAGATTGAATGCTGACCATGAATGCCATTTATACAAACCAGAATAAAATCATTGGAAAATATTGAACTTTACTAAGGAAAATGTGGTAGAACTTGACCTCATTTAGAGTTTGAGCCATTTTTTTAAAATATAGGTATGAATAGCAGATGATGTAAGCATTTATTCAACCTATATTTTTTGAGCTCCTGCTTTGTGCCGAATAAGGTACTAATAAGGTACTAAGGATAGAAAGGTAAGCAAGACAGACAGTGTCTCTGTTCTCAAAGAGTTTATAGTCTAGTAGAGAAAAAAGGCACTAAACATTGACAAGTAGGAAAATGTCCATGATGTTACTGTAATAGAAATAAAACAAAGTGATGTGGTAGACGTGGATGGTTACTTTAGATTCACTGAGGGAATCATATTCAAGGAAATTGAAACCTTGATGACAAGGAGCCAGCCTTATGAAAATCGTGGAGGAGAGGGTTTCAGGCAAAGGAACAGTTTATGCTTAGCACAGAAGTTCTGTGGCCGGAACTATATTCAAGTTGTGAAGAACAGAAGAAAAGCCTACTAGCCAGAGCCTCATCGACAAAGGCGTGAGAGGCTGGAAAGGCTGCAGAGAATGGTAGGGGTCAGGTCATACGGAGATTTTGGTCTTACTGAGAGATTTAGATTTTGTTTTAATCCAGTGGGAAGCATTAGGAAGCTTTTAGGCAGAGATGGTGTCTTAAAACTTCTGTTTTTAAAAGATTATTCTGCTTACTACTGGAGAACAAACTCTAGAGAGAATGAAAGCAAAGAAAACCAGTGATGATGCTGTTGTCATCTCTGTGGGGAGAAATGGTGGCTAGGACTAGAGGTAGCAGTGAAGATGGAGCTAAGGACACATTTGGGATACATTTTCAGAGATGGATTATATATTAGTGGAGATGCTGATGGTAGATGCTGATACCATTTGTTAAGATTAAGGTTGTGTCAGTGCAGGTTTGAAGATGGAAAATCCCCCAAATCAAGAGTTCTATTCTGGATATGTTGGAATTGAAATGGCTCCTATAGGCATAGGGAAAATGTCAGTGAAGGGATATGTCCCTGGTGTTCAGGGACAGATTAGGTGGGCCTAGAAAAATTTTTGAGACATCAATATATGAATAATATTTAAAATATTAGGATTATATCAGATTACCTTGGGAGAACTAAGCTCTCTTCTTTTTAGCTTTACTTCAGCTCCAGATTTAGAGCACAGGTGGCGGAAAGCCGGGAAAGGGACCTGGCAAACCAGAAGAGTGTAGTCTCTCAGAGCTGAAGAAGGAGGTAGTAATCAGCTGCCCCGAATCTTTCTGTGGGGCAAGCAGGCTAGGAACAGAGAAGTGATCATTGACTGGCATCATGAACGTAGCTAATGACCTTGATGAGACTGGTGTCAGAGGAGTTTAGGGAGGAGAGCATGATTTGAGTAGATTAAGGAAAAAATAAATTGGGGAAATTAGGGGTAATAGCTACAGACCACTGTTTTAAGAAGTGTTGCTGTTAAAAGGAGCAAAGAAATGATTTGACAGCCTGAGTATGGATGTAGTATCAGGCAGTGTCAGTTTTTAAAATAAGATATTTTACAACAGTCCTATCCCATAGAACTTTCCCCTAGTAATGGAAATATTGTATAATCTGCACCATCCAGTAAGGAAATCAGCAACAACATGTGGCTATTGAGCACTTGAAGTATGGCTTAGCACAACTGATTTTTTTAATATATTTTCATTCTCATGTATTTAAATAGGTGCATGTGTCTAATGATCTGTGTATTACACAGCATAGTTCAGGAGCATGTTTGTTGTTGATAGGAACGGGTCATCCTCGAGGAAGAAATCGAGGTAGTGAAGGTGGCTGTTGAAAGAACGAAGTTCTTGAGAAGACAAAGGATAGAAGCAAAAGCCCTATGGAGGAATGCAGTGTAGAGGGGAGCCAGGGGTACCATATCCCTGGAGGGGAGGTAGAAAGTGCTGACGTAGGGGCCCTTGGGTGGCTCAGTCAGTTAGGCATCTGACTCTTGACTTTGGCTGAGGTCATAATCTCATGGTTTATGGGTTCAAGCCCCATGTTGAGCTCTGCCCTGGCAGTGTAGAGCCTGCTTGGGATTCTCTCTCTGTCTGTCCCCTGCTCATGTGCTGTCTCTTTCTCAAAATAAATAAATAAACTAAAAAAAAAAAAAGTGCTTTACATAGATGAGGGTCACCTGGCGGATTTGGTGGTATAGGATAAGGGATTTTCTATGTACTTTTATTTTCTTTATGACTTATAAGGCAGTGTAATCAAACAAAGAGATTAGAAGGCCGGAGGAAAAAGGAGAAGGTATAAAGGGTTTTTTTGAAGGAGAGAAAGTGAAGTGTTGCCCATTTTGACATTTATGATTATAATTGTAAGGTAGGATAGTCATCATAATTGGGGAAGAGAAAGGGGCAATTTATTGAATGCCTACTGTAAAGCTGGTCCCTGTACTAAGTATTTTACATATATATTGTTTCTGGTCTTCACCATATCTATACAGGGTAAGTTTTATCTTCCTTTCCATAGGTAAAATTGAGGCTCAGAAAATTTAAATAACTCATCCAAGGTCACAAATGCTAGTGGCTAAGCCAGGATTCTACTCCTTATCCGTCTGACTCCAAAGCTCGTGCCCCTTCTGTTCTACACACTGTCAGAGTAGTAAAAGCAACACAGATTTTTCATCTGTAACTATGATTCCCCCGTATTTTTTAATGTGATGAGAGTTAAAGTCAGTTTATATAGGAATCATTCCTAAGTCTTGCTACAAGAGTACTTGCTTTCTTAGAGGTAGAAGAAATGTATTCAGATGGTTGTTTCCCTCACAGGAGACCATCCCCTGAGGATGCCATTTAGAGAAACGTAGGGGGATATCAGGTTCAAGCCACTGCGTCATTAGAGTCCTGAAAGAGGAAGAAAAAGTCCACCTTGAGCTCCTTTCCCAGCAAAAGCAGTTTTTAAAAAGGGCATAGTAGGTATTGTCCCAAATTTCCTATCAACTGTCGTGGAGTTTATAGAAAATAATGCCTAGATTCATCAAGTTCTGATAAAAATGAATATTTTTGATAGATCGAAGTTTAACTTTTTCTGAACATCCCAAATGGCTTACGTAAAAATCAAAAAATCTCAGAATTGAAAAGAATCTTGTCTTTTTGGTAATAGGCATTCTAACAGGTGTAAGGTGGTATTTCATTGTGGTTTTCATTTGCATTTCCCTGATGATTAATGTCTCATTAATGTCATCTCTGGAAAAAAGACTATTCTAATCCATTGCCCATTTTTTATTTTTTTTAATTTTTTTTGTTTTTTTTTTTTTTAACTTATTTTTGAGACAGAGAGAAACAGAGTATGAGTGGGGGAGGAGCAGAGAGAGAGGGAGACACAGAATCCAAAGCAGGCTCTAGGCTCTGAGCTGTCAGCACAGAGCCTGATGCAGGGCTCGAACCCAGGAACTGTGAGATCATGACCTGAGCCGAAGTCAGACACTTAACCGACTGAGCCATCCAGGTGCCCCTGCCCATTTTTTAAAATGTTTATTTATTTTTGAGAGAGAGACAGAGACAGAGCATGAGTGGGGAAGGAACAGAGAGAGAGGGGGACAGAGAATCCAAAGCAGGCTCCAGGCTCCAAGCTGTCAGCACAGAGCCCGATGTAGAGCTTGAACCCACAAACCGTGAGATCGTGACCTGAGCCAAAGTCAGACGCTTAACCAATGGAGCCACCCAGGCGCCCCAGTCCATTTTGTAATCAGATAGTTTCTTTTTTTGCTATTGAGTTGTATGAGTTCTTTTTAGATTTTGTATATTAACCCCTACATTTTTAATTTTTAATGGTCTTTCACATTTACTTTTTGTCTCATATTATGGCATTTTTCTGTATTTCCAGAAATATCCATTTTGTCTAGGTTTTCAAAATTATGTTTTTATTTTGTGGTGTTGATGTATATATATTATACATGCACACACACAATTTACTGACCACTTACCTGGGGCAGGCACTGTTTTAGGCACTAAGGATACAAAACAAAAAAACAAAAATACATCCCTTGCCCTTAATGAGCTTATTAAGTCCTGCTGGAGAGACAGGCAATAAAAAAACATAGATAACGTAAAGGAGTAATGTAGTATGTGATAGTGTGCTTTAAAAAGTAAAACAAAGCAGAGAAATGTAAAAGTGAAAATATTATTTTAGATGAAGTAACAGGAGACTTAGATAACTTACTGAGAAGATGACATTTGCATAAAAACCCACACAGTGGGGCGAGTAGAAATCTGGAAGGGAGGGATCCTGCAGGCAGAGGGAACAGCGGGTACCCTGAGGCAGGAGTGTGCCAGACTTCAGCCAGTGGTGAGGAGGCTGGGTCAGCTGGGGAAAAAGGAGCATAAGCCAGGGCAGTAGTGAGGCGGTCAGATAAAAGGGGAGCCAGGTGACACCGGTCCGTGTAAGTCATCATGAAAGCGCTCATTTTTATCCCGAGGATTTTGAACTGACAAGTGGCGGTGGCAGCATATGACTTAAAGTATCAGGATTGCACTCGGGCTGCTCTGATGAGAACAGATGGAAAAGGTGCAAGGCTAGAGATAGAGCAGTTATTGAAATATTTTATTATTATTATAATTATGCTATTACAATCTAGACTTGAGATAATGCTGTCTTCAGCTAGCTGATAGCAGTGGAGATGGTGAGAAGCATTTGGATTCAACTTAGTGGTAACGCTTTGTATGTTCATAAGCTACACATTCGTGTAGTATCACCTTTATGGTTTTTAAAATCTGTTGTTTGTAGTTGGTCTCCCATTTCATTCCTTTTTTTTTTTTTTTTTTAAACCTCCATCAGACTTTGTGTTCCCAGTGGTTGTCAGCTTAAGGTTATGGAGACCTTAAGGAGCCATTGGAAAAACTTAGAGACTTCCCTCTCTTTTTTGTTGTCACATGATTCAGAGAAGGGTGTGTGATGGCATTTAGCTCCTTGGGGGCTGGGGATGCAAAGGGTCTTGTCATTTGTGACACAGTGAAGAACTGTCCTGTCCAAAGTATGCCTCCGTTAAGAAATACTGACTTCTCTCTTCACTGATCTCTACTTCACTGATCCTTTCAAAGAACTACTTTTTTGATCTAGTGAATTCTAAGTTTCTAAATCTCTGGTTCATTAATTTATGTCCTTTATTTCCTTCCTTCCATTTTCTTGGAGTTTACTTTTTTTGTTCTTTTTATAGTTTCTTAGCTCATTTGTGTTCTCTGATCAGTGTGTTTGAAAATGTAAATTTCCGTCTAGGCGCTCTGTCTGCTGTGCCCTACAAATTTTGGTAGGGCTTCATTCATATTTCCCAAACACCTGCCCCGGCACATAATGAGTACTCGATAATTATTTGTTAGTTAATTCAAATATCTCCAACCCTGTTTTTAATTTTTTTTAATGTTTATTTATTTTTGAGAGCGAGCATCTGTGGGGGAGCGGCAGAGAGAGGGGGCGACACAGAATCGGAAGCAGGCTCCAGGCTCTGAGCTGTCAGCAGAGTCTGATGAGGGGCTGGAACCCATGAATCATGAGATCATGACCTGAGTTGAAGTTGGAAACTTAACCGATTGAGCCACCAGGTGCCCCTCTCCATCCCCTTTTTTGAACCAGAGAATAGAATCCATGTTTACTGATATGTCATGTAATAATATGATAGTATTACCGTTAATAATTTAAATAAGTTTACTGAACTGTTGCATAATAATAATAAAACAGCATACATAATAAAATAAGAGGGCCCTTATACTTGATTATGATGCTAATATCTGTCCTTTATATTTCAGGTGCAGCAGTTACAAGGAGTTTACAGTTTACAAGAACAGCACTTCTGGACCTTATGTTCTGATGTTTATGTTGGGACCTTGAAATTAGTAGTAGCACCTGATGCTGATGCCAGGTGGATTTTAAGCCAAACACATAATATTTTTACTCAGGTATGACTTTATTAACTTCTTAAGGATCTTTGAATTTATTTTATCTACTAGTTCAAAAACTATTTACTATTTAGCAGAGTAAATAAATATATCCTATACTATGAGGAAAGCATAAAGGTACTTTTTTTCAACTATACCATCAAATTTGGGAATTCTAACTTTAGTTAATACTCTTAAGGAAGATATTCCTATTTATTCAATATTGCACTGATTTGAATTCCTTTAAGAAAAAGTAGATTCTCCTTTATTATATACTCATAAGGCATATTAAATGCTGTTTAAAGCCAGGAACTAAAATAGCATTTGGAATAAGAATAATGCTTGTCAGTGGCTTTAGCTAAAAGTAGACTATGTTAACGGTTTTGTGTGATAGCGAAGCCATAGTTCTGTGTTGATTTAAAAGCTTAATATGCTGCTGTGTTTGGGATCACAAATTAGTCAGTGTGTGCCTGCAACCAAACTGTTTCACCTACTGCTTATGCCATCGTGGGCTGACATAGCCATGTGACCGATAACCAGAGGAGGAGTGATTACTGTGTTCTTCTCTTATCTGTTGGGAGAATAAGAACAGCACGTCAAGAACATCTTAGGAAAGGGGCGTCTGGGTGGCTAAGTCGGTTAAGCGTCCGACTTCGGCTCAGGTCACGACCTCATGGGTCGTGGGTTTGAGCCCCGCATTGGGCTCTGTGCTGACAGCCAGCTCAGAGCCTGGAGCCTGTTTCAGATTCTGTGTCTCCCTCTCTCTCTGACCCTCCACTGCTCACACTGTCTCTCTCTCAGAAATAAAACATAGGAAAAAAAAAAAAAAAGAACATCCTAGGAGAGTGAGAAAATACAAAGTTGTTTCTCGTTCTAGTTTGCTAGAAATGTTTGGCAAAAAAATCTAGAGTTAATATTGCTGCCAAAATTACCCAGCATATAGATCTAATGAGGAACTGTTTCCTTGCCTTAAAACGGTGTGCTTTAAAACGGGCACATGTCTCCTGGTGTGAAGCGGTAAGAAGCACACAACACGACCTGTGTGGTACTCTTGCCAGAAATGGTTAATATGAACAACCTGCCGATCCCACTTGTAGAAACTTCTACAAGAGGGGCGCCTGGGTGGCGTAGTCGGTTAAGCGTCCGACTTTCGCTTGGGTCATGATCTCGCGGTTCGTGGGTTCGAGCCCCGCGTCGGGCTCTGTGCTGACTGCCAGCTCAGAGCCTGGAGCCTGTTTCAGTCTGTGACTCCCCCTCTCTCTCTGACCCTCCCCTGCTCACGCTGTCTCTCTCTCTCTCTCCTAGAAATAAATAAAAAATATTTTAAAAAAAAAAAAAAAAAAAGAAACTTCTACAAGACTGTTAGCCTGGATTCTTACAAACTGTCAGTGTCGTGAGAGGGGGAAAATAACCAGTAGGGGATTATGTGAGAGTAGAGGACACTTCACAGTTAAATGTAACGTGTAATCCTTGGTTGAATCTTGGTTTGGAAATAAAAAAAACAGGCACAGAGGAAGTTATTGGGTAATTGGGAAATTTGGATATGGACTGCATAATAGTTCATAATAATTGTGTATATGTTAGATTTCTTGGGTGTGGTAATGATATTGTGGTTATCAAAGAAAGTTCCCATTCTTAGCAGATACATGCTGAAGATTTAATGGCAAAGGATCAGGATGTCTAATTCTCAGATGTTTCAGCAAAAGTAAAAAGATTACTTTTTTAGAGAAATAAAGCAAATGTGGCAAATGTTAGCAGTGGGTGAATATAGGCGATGGGTAGATAGGTATTTATCGCACTATTTTTTTGACTTAAAATTTTTTCAAAATAAAAAAATTAAAAAATAAAACCTTTGGAGGCTCCTCATAAAACTCAGACTTCAGCATGGTCCGGTTCAGTTTTCAAGCCTCCTGTTCTTCATTCCCATAGACTTCATATCCCTCCAGACCATTTACTTTCCTGGGTGGGACAAAATCGTACTCTAATCTGAAGGTCCATTTCAGTTGTTACTTTCCCTCTGAAACCTAAAAACCCCTCCAAGCAGCATTACTTTATCCTGTGATACACATATTTATCTGCAGGTTCCTTCTGGGCATCATGATTTTACATTCCCAATAGTTAGAAAAATGTACATGTATAATAAATTTGTTAAATAAGCAAATTCTTAAAATTGTATTTGACCAAAACTGTCTACATAAGCTAAGTATGGAAAAAGTATGCTTGGGTTCTCATTGGTCTTTTTAACCACAGCACAAAAAGATGGTTATGATATATAGAAATAGAGACAGAGACAAACACACACTCACTCACTCACTCACTCGCTCACAGAAAGGGAAAGAGGGAGAGAGAAAGGAAGAGAGGGAGGAAACAGAGAAACACATCATGATCTTCAGACATGGACAACAGAACATAATATGCAGTTCAGTTAAATTCAGGACCTTAGTACGGATTAAATGATATCTCAAAAAAAAAAAAAAAAAGAAATGAAATGGTTTTTCTAATAATGAGAAATGTATGTTTACGTTCCTTGGGGAATAAGTAATGAAATAATTTTACGTGTAGGGAACAGCAAGACTTACTCTAGTATAAAATATTATGCTGGTACCACTTACTCTGGGATTTGAAGAACTAGATGTCTTTTCTTAACAGACACTATAATAAGTCTATATGATTATGACTTTCTTATTTTTAATTTTTTTAATGTTTTTATTTATTTCTGAGAGAGAGAGAGAGAGAGAGAGAGAGAGACAGTGTGAGCAGGTGAGGGTCAGAGAAAGAGAGAGACACAGAATCAGAAGCAGGCTCCAGGTTCTGAGCTAGCTGTCAGCACAGAGCCTGATACGGGGCTCGAACCCATGACCTGTGAGATCATGACCTGAGCTGAAGTTGGACGCTTAACCGACTGAGCCACCCAGGTGCCTCTAATTATGACTTTCATGTCATTATGAAGTGTGCCAGACCTTCACAGTGCATCTGAATCCTTCTCCCACCTCCTTCCTGTGTTAGGGGCCAAAGCAGAATGTGGCGGGCAGTAACTTTGCTCTTCCACCGTTATTTCTAGATCATCATTCTCTTCTTTACCTTTTCTTCTGGTTCTACCATGTCCTGCCATCCCCATTGTGTGAGCTTCTGTTGACCTGTAGGACATGCTGTACCCTTCTGTGACTTGGGTGCTTCGTCATGGTTTTCCTTCCGCAAAGGAAATGCCGCTTCTAGGTTTAGAAATGCACAAGCAGCTGGGTCTGTGCTTAGGAACCACTGAAGTTGTAACTCAAGTAGGTGGAGGCTGTTCTTCTGGTAACCCTGGAAATCTTGGCTTCTCAAATGGCTGAAGCAGAAAGTTTATTCAGCTGCTGCTTTGGTTTTGGAAACTGCATTTGGGTTTTGAAAATGTTAAGCTCTGAAAAATATTTTAAGCCTTTTCATCAGCCAAGGTCAAGCCCACCCTGTTTGATGCTAGCAGAGACCAGGGTCTTGCAGTGAAGGTGATGCAACACGTTTTTTTCCAGAGGGGAGTTGGGGGTCACCCTACTGATGAGGTTCATTCCATACCTGTAATGATTTTACCCTTGTTTAGTGATCATTGTTTTGGTTCTGACATATGCAGAATTGAGCTTCCAAAAGACTGAGAAGGATCTTCTCAATAATAAGTTACACTTTTGGTTTTATGACATTTTCAGGTGTCTTTCTTACAGTTGATCCTAAATCAGAAATGTAAATAATAGTTTTTGGTTAATACGTTGTTCTTGTTAAATGGTATATGAAGATAACCTTAAACTGAAAAGACCAACATCAGTCTGAGAATTACGACTTTCCATTCTGTGGATAAAACTATAAGCTTCGTGACTCTTTAGAACTGTATGTTAGGCATGTCCTTTTGATTCTCAGTTCCTCTGGTTATCAAGTAATCTTTAATGGCCAAAGCAGTTGGTTTGTTGTGCATGAATAGAGAGTAAAACGAGTGAATTGGTGAACTTAGATTTCCTTAGGGATTATTAGTTAAGGGATAATCCAATTTTTAAACTACAAGGTTTTCTGCTGGCATAAAAAAAGTTCTCTCTCCCATTCTCCCCTGCACTAACTTTTTAAAAATGAGTTATTATTTGGCAATTGATGACATAGAAAACTTATTTTTTATATTTGGTGTATGAATAGGAAGAGAAAGTAGGATACTAGATTAAGATGGCAATTTAACATTTTATGTTTCTTTAAAACTTGCTCATACCATCTGTTAACTTTTTTAATATACTGTTTTGTTAGAAATAACATTTGAAGAAAAATCTCTAATATGCTTCAGTTCCACAAAGCACAGAAGACAGTCAGGCTTAACACATGCTCTTTATTCAGTGATAGAACTTCTGTTGTGATTTCTTTCATCTTTTCTACTCTGCTGCCTATTTCTGTTATGCATACTAAGTCCTGAACCCCTGCTTCCTGCTTCAGCTTTTTGTGTGCCATTCTCTAGTCTCAAGATAGAAGTTCATACTGATACTAGGAAGGAACTAGAAAGCCTCCTCACATGCCCGAATGGGAGTTACCAAGCTTCAGGAACCTCCCTGTCCTCCATGCTCCTGATCCCTTCCTGTCTGGCCACAGACTTCACCCAGCCTCATGTCTGCTGGAGGGTAAGGGTAGCAAGTGGGAGAAGCCACTTACCCCTTTCCAAGGGGCTAGTTATTCTCCCAGCCTTTCCATTTGTTTTGTAGAAGATTTTAATCTTCATTTTTAAGGGTTGATTCTGTTTGCCAACTCTTCAACTTTTCCTTATCTGACTTCACATTTTCTTCATCATATGTGCATGATGCTGACCAGAACCTATCCTTCTGAGGAGGTTGGAGTAAACAGCCATAGGATGTGAGGCAGACAGGTCCCTAGGTCTGTTGCTTTTCATTAATCCACAAGGTTTAAGCTTTCATTGGCTGGGTGGTAGAGGGCAGAAAATAATAGCAGCAGCACATCACCTTTATTGAGAGCCCACTGTGTGACAAGCACTTGGACAGGTGCTTAACATCATAATCTAGCCTCACAAAACGTGTGCTATTATTTACAATTTATAGAAAAAGGAACCCAGACCCAAGTTATTGCTCATGACTTATAATTTCATCATATTCACCAGGGCACCTGGGTGGCTCAATCTGCTGGGTATCCAGCTTTGGCTCAGGTCATGATCTCATAGCTCATGAGTTCAAGCCCCGCGTTGGGCTCTATGCTGACAGTTCGTATTCTGGAGCCTCCTTCTGTGTCTCCTCTCTCTGCCCTCCCCCACTCACGCTGTCTCTTAAAAATGAATAAATGTTTAAAAGTAAATAAAAGGATAAAGTTAATATCCTATGTTCAGTCAAAAACTAAAGTAGAAAGCTTCTGTAGAATTTGGTAGAGAACATAAAAATAAGTCTTAATGTTAAAAAGTGTTGACTGAATTCTGGTTCATATTACTCTCATCATATAAGATACAATGAATATTATATGGTTTTCACTTTTTAAAGACAACCCCTCAGCCAAGCTATGACTCCTGGTGCCATCCCAGTGGTAGAATGTTTAATGTAAGCAAGCCCTGTTTGACCTGCTAGAGTACTTGTCCTCTCTTCACTGTATTGAAAACCTACTTTGCATTCAGGGAGTAGGTGACTCAATATAGGATTCTTTGGCAATTCTGCTTTTTTCTCTACTTTGAAAGAAATGGAGAAAGGCACATGGGAAGCTGGAAAACTTGAGGCTGTCCCTCTCAGGACAGCTGGAGAAGCAAAATGCCTGTTTCTGTTAGACTGAGCTTTTATGTAAAGCTGTAGCCTCTCACGGGAAACTATAAGCTTGAGTAATTAACTCATGATTATGCAAAGATCAATTTACCTAGCCTCTTTGTTTTTCTTCTTTTTTATTGCCTTGGGCTAACCTCATTTCTTATTACCGTGTTCCCTGTCGTATGACTGGGAGTGAGGACAGTGGCAGGGTTAGTAACAGTAGCCCAACTTAGTTTGCTCATTTTACTTTCGTTAACGATTTATTAAAAGTGATAAGAAACTAAGCCACCTTATTTGGGCCTTAGTTGTTTTTTTAAGGTTGGACATACAGGAGGAATTTTGCAGAAGAGCTCATTATTTCAGAGGCCATCTGGGTTGAGTAAATTCAATGCACTGACTTAGAATAAATCATAATAATTTGTTCAGTAGACTTTCATAGCATATGAAATCCTTTCTCATATATTTGCATATAGTCCTTCCAGTAGTGCCTGGTATGGACTGAGGCTTTATTAAACTTTTGTCAAATATCAGGTGAGCATATAACAGTTTTGTGAGATGAGTAGGCTTGGGATGTATCGACGCTTGTACAGTGAGACAAACTGAAGCTTGTTCTAAATGTTAGCCCCAAATCTGACAGATACTAAGTTGTTTTCTGCCATAAGCCTCTCTCCTTAAGGAGAGGCTGCTGTTAAATGTATTTTCTGGAAATTTGAATAACCAATAACAATTCTGAGTAACAGCTTTAATGTAACCACAGCAAGGATTTATTTTATTTTTATTTTTTACTGAAGCAAGAAAGCTGAAGGGTGTTCTGTGCTGGGAAGCTTCCGGGTCTCCCCAGCTTTTTATCCCGTCAGAGTGGCTCCTGCTCCTCCCCCACACTCACTAGTGCTGCGCGGAGCCCTACAGCGTGAACGTGAGGGAAAAAAGCCATGCTAGAAATTACCGCAAGATGGTAGTGTGAATAGATTTTTATCCCCCACTATGGCTTTTTTCTTTTCCATTAATATTCTAATTTACCTTTCATTCTGTGGTACTGACAAGAAAATTCTTATTTGCACTATGTATTCATTTAAAATTCACTCATTTAAAAAATTTTTATTCAAAAGAAGGAATTTAGAATTTCTGTTCATCCAATAAACATTTTTGATTGCTTACTCTGTCAGGCATTACCTGAAGTATAGAAGTCAGCAAGTCAGCAATGAAAAAGAAAGGTAAAATCCTTTTTTTTGGAGAGACTACAGAATAATGGGTGAGCAACAGTAAACACAGCAGCATAGCAAATGCTAAGTTTTATAGTGTATCAGAAGGCGGTAAGTGCTGTGGATAGGGGATTCAGGGTAGGGAAGGGTAGGGAGCTTACTTGTTGGATGAATGAACTGGATGCATATTATATACCGTAGGCCTCACTGGTGTCTGAGGGGAGAGGGAGCGTGTTACATGCTTAACTGCGGTAACACTGTTCCAGGCAGAAGGCGAGTGAACAAGGGGAGGGGAGTAAGAAATCAGGGACCAGGACACAGGATTTATAGGCCATTGTACGGACTAAGGAAGATGAGCTGTTGTAGGCTTTGAGTGATGGAGTGATGTCACTGTAGCTGGTCGGCTGCATGTAGACCAAAGGGAGGCAGAGGCATGGAAACTAGACCAGAAGCCATTGCAGAATCCAGGCAAGAGATGAGAGTGCCTCAGGCCACAGTGGTAGCCATGGAGGTGAACGTAAAGTGGTGAGATTCTGGGACTGTGGTATTTTGAAAGTGAGGCAAACAGGTATTCCTAATGGGTTGAGTGTGAGAGAAAGAAATGTCTTTAAGTTGTAACATTAAGGATGGGATTGAGCCGTAGAAGATGCAAGATCTCCAGGCTTTGACGGGAGGAAACAGTGTTCAGTTTGGCTGTGTTGTAATACAGACATCCAAGTAAAACTGTCCAGTAGATGGTATGTAGATTCCAACATGGAAATACAGATGTGGGAGGTGTAAGCATATACATGGTAATGAAGTCTGGATATTAGAGGAGATCAGCTAGGGAACAAGTGTAGAAAAAGAAGGAATGGGAGGACTGACCTTTGGGTAGTTAGTGCTTAGTGCTCCAAGTTAGGAAGAAGAAGCACCAAAGACTGAAAAGTGAGGTAAAAAGTCACCAGTGAGTATTCTCTGGAAGCCAGGAGGGGAAACGCGTTTTGTTAGGAGAGAGTGATCGCCTCTGTCCTTGCTGACAGGCTAACTGCTAAGAGGACTGACAAGTGAGCACTGGTCTGAGCACCTTGGAGGTGACCCTGACAAACAGCTTTGCAAAGTGGTGGGTGGCAGAAGTTCAGCTGAAATGTGTTCAAGAGACAAGAGGAATTCTAGGCAGCAAATACACAAAAATTGATAACGTCGCAGAGCTGACGGCAATTTAAAGAGCAGTCTTTGAGTAGTGAGTTCCTATCAAAAACTGAAGGAGTTAGAATGTATTCACATAACCAACAGATGGTCATACTTCAGTGTTTACTAATCATCCATCACAGGGAGATGAGCCTGGATTGATTTATGATTTTAGTAGCCAACTAAGCAAGCACTATGGTGTTCTCTGGCAGAGTAACAGTAGACCGGTAACCTAATTGTTCCAGATTTCGCTGCACATGGTTTATAATCAGCGGCATGGCTTTCTTCCCTAGGGGCAAATGAAGGGTCTATTTTGCAACATATCAATATACTTATTTCTAAGATAAAATTACTGGCCCCTTATGATGAAAAATAGAGAATTAATCATTCCAGAGGCAGAAGAGAAAAATAATGCTTTCCTCTTTCAAAAAAAATTTTTTAAAATATTTTATGAAATGTGTAGTGTGTTATTGGTTTGATTTTCTAATTTTTTTTTTTTTTTTTTTAACTTTTCAGGCTGGAGTGAGACAGCTTTATGTACAGATTGACTTTGCGGCCATGTAATGAATGAAAAGAAATTATCCTTTTTGGGGGACCTAATATTTCCGGTACCGTACAATCCAAAACATTGTACCTAGCTTCTTACGAAAGAAATCATCACTACATATCCCCAACACCCAGGAGACGAGGTAGTGTCAGCCTTTCGTGCTCTGTCGGGACTTCACAGCTGATGGATCCGAAGTAAGGGTCTCTCCTGAACTTTTGGTCTTATCTTTTGTTCTCTTCCCTCCAAACCATTTTGATTTCTGAGGTTTCTAGTTTTGTTCCAGGGATGTTAGTTTTTGTTTCCTTTTTTTTTTTTTTTTTTTCCATTTCAAAAAAGCCTTTGCTCCTCATTCTCCTCCTAGCAAGTAAGAATTCAGACTGTGGGGCTCCAGGCATCTGGAATGTCTTCACTGAAGCTGATGGAAGCTGCTGCTTCCTTTCCACAAAACTAGTATTATTAAAACAAAACAAAACAAAAAATCATTTTATATGTAATGTCACAATTGTTGACGTTCTTCAGTATAATCATATGTTTGTAAAATTGTTTGTACCTTGCAAACTTATGAACCAAACCATATTGGGTTTTCAAAGTGCCTTTGTATCAGAAAATGTATTTGCCAGCATAAAAATGTACCATCAAAGGTCATGCAGATGTTTAATGGGTGATTCCATAATCTGTACAAGGTGTAAGACTCTTGTTAGTGATACAGATGGTCTTTTCATGTACTTTCAGCATAGGTTTAAATAAATGAAGTTTCCTCTTGCTGCTTTACCTCATCAAAAAACAGAAGGTGTTATTGTTCTTTTTAAATCAAATTCAGTTACACATTGCATTATTCTGTGGACTGTTTTCAGAACTTTGGAAAGCATCTGTTATATAGACGGTTGTTTTGACTAACTAAAACAACTGCTAAATTCTAAATTTCTCTAAAAGGTATGTCTATGATAACCTTTGCTATACGTCTCCTCGCTGTCGATGGATTTTATTAATGAAAGGAAAGGCAGTGTAGAGTGAAGGCAGAAATGGTGGTGACAATGTTACTATTTTTTTCATTCTTCAAATGCCAAGTCATACAATTTGTTTTCCTGTGCAAGCCTTGCACAAATACAGCTGCTTTCAGAAATCCTAAAAACATTTTATTGAGTTTAAACTATTGAAGATACAGGTCAGTTGTGATAAAACAGGTGTCTTATAAGTTAATAAGTTGATTTCTAGGTTCTTGTGTATTTGAAAAATAAAAATGTGATTTGAGATGACAAGTGCTTGAACACTCAAAGATTCTATGGATTATGAAAAAATATTGATCTGGATAGACATTTACCCATTGTTCTTCATTTTGTCATTATGTATATTCCCTTTTAACTTTAAAAAACTGAATTCTTGGGGGGCGGGGAACCCTGCAGGATGGAAACATTTGTTTAGAATGTAGACCAATAATAAGCACTTTTTCACTAATGGGGCAGAAATCGCTGTTATTTTGTCTAAGTTACAGAGTTATCTTTCTCCCTATTTCTGATCTACAATTTATGAACTATACTATATAGGAAAACTGAACTACTTTATGCTTCTCAAACTCCGCAGATTGCTACGAGTTGTTGACAGTCTCCTTTTTCCAGATTAATTAAACAGTATTTTCAAAACATTTCTACTTACTGCCAGGCAGCTCTAAAGCTAAGAATTCCTGCAGTAGAGTGCGTGTGACAAAAACAACTGTTGAGATGTTTAAGGAGGGAAAGTATAAAAGGAAACATCCCGATGACGTACTGCTTTTTCATTGTAAGTCTAAGTAGTCATTTGGAAGTTTGCATCCACTACCAAGCCTGATAGAAGCCTGGGATAATCTGGGGGTTTTGGCATATTATGGAAAATGTCAGTCTAGATGAAGGCGGGAGTTTTGGATGTGTGCCTTTAAAAACTAATATACGTAATTGTACGGATTCTTCATATATGGAGATAATAGTGGCACTGGCCTGTAAAACTGACCAGTGCATTTTGCAGATCCAGTTCTGCCTTTCACAAAGCCCTCCACTGCCAAGTGGAGTTTTGCATCATTTTCTGTACTCTCGATACACAAGAGCATGTGTATGTCGGTTTTTCTTTGATAAGGCATTGAGCATACACATTATTAGACTGATACAGAACTCTGATTTTGCACCTGTTAGAAGAGGTTGCCAGCTCGTATCATTTAGCAGGTTGGTGTCAACATTTATGCTTTAATTAAATGTCCTTAAACCTGCGTGTGCAGCAGGGACAAATTAGTGTGACAAAAAGCAACTTTGTTTTCACAAATACTCTTTTCTAACAGATACTGTCTCATCTGTGTTTTTGGTACAGATGTACTGCTAAAACAGATAATCCCACTAAAAAACATTACTTGACTGTTATTAAAGATTTGCGATGTCTCTATTACTAGGCTAAATAACCCTTGGGGCCTGAGGGAAGGGGGACGAATCTCTGAGTATTACTTTGCCAATATTGTAAAAAAACCAAAATATTCTCTGGAGAATAAATTTGTTTTGCTCTGGGGAAGTTTACCTTGCTGAGTAACTTGCTAAGTTTACTTCCCCAAACTGAAATACACCTATATTAGTTTTGTGTTTTGAAATCTAGATTACATTACTCAAAGGGCTTACCGTATGTATGACTTTATTTTGCTGACTCCCTGTGTACTTTTGTGAGGGATGGTGTGTAATGAATCTATAGCTCTGTATTCTTCTCATTGTTGCCACGCTGTCTTCTGCAGAGGCATAAGGAAGTAGTAGTTAGTGGCACTGGGATTTCCCTTGTATCCAGATGCTTCGGCATTCTTCAAAGCCTACATGTATATACCAGCAACCAAAATACTGTGACTTGTGCACCTTTGTAAAGTAGCCCAGTCGATGACTCCAAATGGAGCTGATGACAGTTCTATGATGTTTTTACCTACTATGGGGTAATCAATTTTATAGAGATTACTAATACAGTGGCATGCTCATATAATGCTGGGATTTAAGAACAAAAATATTCATGGAGTAACAGAATTTTACATCTTAAGGGACTGTCCTTAAAAGCAGTCTCGTTCTACCTCTCATTTTACAGATGAGAAAATTGAAGCCCAGAAATGCTGTCACTTACTCAAGGTCACAGAGATAATTAGTGGCAAAGCCAAGACTAGAACCCAGGTCTTCTGACTCCAAGTCAAGTTCTTTCTACTCCATTGTGCTGCCTCTCCAGTGTAATATTTGCCTTTCTGTAAATGTGATGAAAAAGCATTTGTAAATAAAGGAAAGCTGACTTCCATTTTTGGTACATTAAGGCACTTTATAAACGGAGTTTTATTGTCTTGTTTTGCATAAGTAATTATAAGATTTAGATTATTTCCATACTTTCATTGAGGTTTAGAATATTCTTTGTGGAAGACATGATTTTTGTACTCTCTTTTACTTTTTTACTCTTATGAAACCACTTCCTGATTTTTAAAATTCAATGACATCTGTGCTTTGGATACTTTTAACTTGTTGAGTGAATTTTTCTGTTAATTGCTCAAGGCTAAATCCAATTTAAGCATTGCTTAGTTTCTTTATTTTGTTTATATTCCCTGAGTTGGTACTTTTTAGAAACTAGGCTAATTCTTACAGGTTATATATCATTTCAGTCTTGACTCTTATAGTTTTGTTATGGGAGCTTTTGAATTTTTAACATTTGTTCTCAGAGCCACAAAAAATTGGGCATTAAGTGAAGCACAGAACAAAACAAGTTTTTTAATTCAGTAGGGTGAAATGTTGAAGTCTTACCAGAACCCCAGACGTTCAGTTGCTTACTTTAAACATAAAAGCATTACCTTGATAAAGTTAAACTTTCTTCTTTCTGTTACCATCTTCAAAACTAATTATTTTCCGGTTCTCAAGAACTTTGGCAAAAAGAAATTTTATTCTTTGAAGAACACTCACTAAAAGTTTTATTAATGGAAGAAAATGGTTTCAAGACATGACCCACCAGAAGCCTTAGCGATCTAGATCTCTACCATACAATCTAGACAAATAGAATGAAAAATTACATATCAAAGTATTTATAGAGAAGTAAAGTTAAAAGCCAAATGGATGTCAGTGTTTTTGAGGAGAGCATCTTTGGTTTATGTTTAACCACTCCCTAACTACAAACTATACAGAAAAGTTGAGGGTCAGCCTATATTAGTATTTGTGTGTCAGGTTCTTTGTGTGGTCTCTTCCATGTTATCACATTTGAAATCCTCACATTTTAATAAAGAATTTTGCGTGCTTTTATGATTGACAGAGCATTTTCAGATTCTGCGCCCCACCCCCCTCCAGTCCCAGGGAAGGAATTCTTAACTGCATTTTATTTTGCAGATGAGGAAGCTGTTCTTAGAGAATTTAAATGACTTGCCTGAGGGATAGCCAGTGGTAACGCACTGACTTTAAACAGGGTGCTTTTTCTGATGACTACTCTCTTTTAAGTACTTCATTCTACAGTGGTTTAAAGACCCAAGAAGTAGTAGCTGACTTGAACAGATCCTCCAGTAAAATCAGTGAAAAATTACCATGACAAAACAGATTGGGGGTGGGGAGCAATTGTTCATTAAGCAATACACATTGCTTAAATTCATCCCTTCATTCAGTGCTCTCAGGCTTATTTCCTACCTTTGCCACTGAATTTAACCTGTGCAGCAGCTCCCACTCCCTCCTCACCCTGTGGGACCCTTTACTAAAAAGAATAATCAGAACTCCTTTAAGTACTTTTAAAATCCTTTCCAAAAAAAAAAAAAGTTTTACTGATGCTCAGATTAAGCTGCTTAAAAAAGGAAGGGATTCAGAGGGAGCGCATGAGTAAGGGGAACCTGAACTCACCTTGGCTAAGAGGGAGGTTAACTTCATTGATGAGGTAACTCTCTTCCAAGAAGTACAAATCCTTTGTGCTGGTGGAGGGGGGGATCTGAGGATTTGATTTACAACATTACATTGTATAGACACCTTTTTAAGGAAGAAATCTGTTTCTTAATTAGTAGCAATCTATGCTTAATAATATTGAACTTTTGAACTCTCCCTGTGGCTTTGAAAATTTAGTATTTGCAATTCTGTTGATACTGGAAAGTTTGTAACAAAAGAAAAGAAAAAGAAAAAAGAAGGTCTTTGTCTCTTCATCCATCCCATTATCCCCAAACTTACCACGAGCTTACAAGCTCAGTAAATGTTTGGTTAACTAAGGAGTAAATCTTGTAGATGGTAGTGGATACAAAAGTTAAGGGCTGTGGACAGAGAGAACCAGTAATTTATTGTTTATTACAGAAAACACCTCAGCTTTTCTCTGGCATTTTTGCACAAATAAGTGACTTTGTATTCACTTTGGCCATTTTTTTTCCTAAGGAGCTGCTTCTTAGTTTTAACCCAGGAACAGTAGACCATGTATAGAGATGTCATCCATGTTGTTGGATAGGAATTTGGCTGAACTGGGCCTGTGAAGCTGGGTCACTTGAATTTTTACATTATGTATTGCCAAATGAGAAACCACATTGCCTCCTTGTTTTCTATGGAAAACTGCCATATTCCTATTATTTTAAAGATCTGTGTATAACATACCTTGTTTCATTTATCCCCATATGTATGACTATCCAAAACTCTTAGTGGTATATTCTGAAGGTGCTTCCAAAAAACAAACACTACACGTATTCATTAAGTGATTTAAATATTCCTTAGTTTCTATCTTTTTTTCCTCCTTCCCCTCTAAATCCTAAATTTTAGTACAGCTTCTATTTCTTATTTTTCATCTCTTCTAATTAATTGCTGCTGCCACGGTAAAGTCCTCTTTTTAATAAATGAAAAGAAAGCTTTATTTTGAATTTTAGTATTTGAATTTTGTGTATGTCCCACATATCATGCGTTAGTAAGCCTCAATGAAGATTTGGTTTTGAACTAGAGGTATCCTGTCAAGAATCTGCTAAGTAATCCCATTGTTTCCTCTGATATGAATTTTAGTGATATGTCTCCCCAACTAATACTTTGCCCCAACACTTGTGAGTTTGATCGGTAAACACAATGGATCTTTTATATCAGAAATACTGTGAATTAAAAATTGCCAAATTCCCTTCTCAGTATATTCTGAAAACCTGTACAACATTTTACCTCCCTGTCTCTTCCTGCCAAGTTTGAATTTGGGTTTGATTCTTTTGGTGAAGATTACAGCATCAAAACATTTCTAAACAAATGTTTGAGTACAAGGCTAGATTGAAACGTCAAATTTCAGACTGTTGTAATTTGGTTTGAATATGCTAAAGTAAGCAATTATGATTTGCCCAAGTATAATACAACAAATCCATCCTGTACATTTCACTTTTTCTACTTGAAGACATTCATGTATATATTTTAACTTCAGATGTATTTAAAAAGAATAAACAATTGTAACAAAATTCTTCCAATAAAATTTGCTTCAAATCCTTCACCTGAATTGTGTCTATTAGTTTGATAAATTGAAAGGAATATTGTGAACTAAACAAGTATTGGAATCATTCCTTAGACGACTTGAGTAATGGAAGGGAAAGAATGGTGTTCAAGACCAGAAAACAGGAAAACTCACCAGAGACAGGAGATGCTAGGAGATTGGTAAGGTCTTAACATGTGAAGGTCCTCACTGTGGCTCTTACTCATTATTTTACCTCAGGAACAGATCTCACAGTATTTGTTTCCAGATATCTGGATTAACCTTGAATTGTTTTTTCACCTCATTCCCTATGTATGATCTCAGCTTACAGGAAATAAAGACCAAAACCAGACATGAGCCTCTGTTATCTTTCCAAATTTTTTCCCTCTATTCAGAAGTAATTAAAAAAAATCACTTCTCCACAAAATCCCAGATCCCATTCATCCCACCTTCTCACACACAGTCTATCTATTAAAGCAGCCTCTTTGAATCCCTGCTGTGTAATAAGGACTTTATCTTTAGTATCTGCTGTTGAATACCTTGTATGTGGTCTGCATGTGCTTCTAATGTGTCCTTTCTAACCGTTTCCATAGCTCTTGCTAATATGGCTTTGCTCTTCTTTATACTTTAGAAGTTAATTAAAGGCTATCAGTGGCTTTCTTCTGTTACATTCTTACATCTCAAAATCAACAAAAAATGTATTTTTTTCTTCTCAACTACCAATTTCTGTCAGACTCGCTTACATAATTCTTGGAAATCGAAACACTGCTTTTGCCATCTCCATTTCCTAAATTCCCTATTGCAAAGTCCTTCCCTTCATTCCTTTGAAGTCTTTAAATTCTCCTTTTCCATTTCTACTGCTTTATTCCAGGATGTCACCGATGACTACATCAGTAACTATGTGAAACCATCTAGCTTCCCATTTATTCCATGCCCAGCTGGAGCCACCTCCATGTCAGCCCTGTCCCTGCATCCTCCTGCCGGTCCCCAATCATCACCACAAACACAATTCTGGCCATAGGCAGGAAGTACAAGGAATTTCTGCTGAATCAGACTTTTGCCCAGGCACTCTGAAAACATTCCCCTACCCCGGCTTCCTGATTACTTTTGGTTGGCCCTTCTGCATACTAGACTTTGACCTGCTAGATCTAGAGCACCTGCCAGGGACTCCCTGCCTTTCCTGTGTTCTCTAGAATTAGCCTGTGAAACTACAATGGCCCATCACCACACCCTCAATGCAACCTCTTGTTTATATACTGGTTTAAGCAAGTTATTTACTACAATGCTTCACTACCTCATCTTTATCTAGAATTTTTGTTTCCTTCCCCACGGAAGCCACCCTGTGTTGTACTGACAGACTAAGTGTGCATCTCAGTTTTCAGTCTTAGTCCTCCAGCTCAGGAATCTGGAGTGGCTCCCTAATGCTCATCAAATACAAATTTTTCTAAACAACTTTAGAAACTCCTAATGCTTATCCCCTCCTACTTATTCAATCTCATTACCCACAATATGGCAATAAGCAAACTTATCAACACTCTAGACCACGGAAACAGCAGACAGGGAGAGACCAGCAAGTCCAACAGATGTGGACAAAAGGACAGCAATTTAGTATTTTTCATTCTGTTAAAACAAATGAAGGGAGGGAGGGAAGAAATAAATGAAAGAAAGAGAAAACATTTCAATGAGATTCTAGTTCATTCAAACAATCTGTCAGCTCATCCAGTCTTATATCCAGGTTTAAAAAAGTTTTTTTTAAAAAAAGTCTACCATATTTCAGACTTGGCACATGCTATTAACATTTAAATGTACATTTCAACTTTATCTGCTAAAATTCTATAACCAAGAGAAGTAATAATGATGACAGTAAGATATTACTCAAAATGTATGGAGTCTGACACACTTTAGGCAATCAAAATTTATGGGAAAAAATAATGAATTTAATACGAAGTTTAATTCCTCCTTGGAAAATGGTTCTATATGCATTGTTAAACTGTAATTTGGAAGTATTTCCTGAACGTAGGTAGATAATAGTATTTTAAAAGAGTGACAATGTATAAATAAACATGAAATTCAGATTCATATCTAATGGTACAGTTTTCACATCAATTAAAAACCGTACCATTTGGCTTGGACTTTTGAAAATATCATACCACTTCCAAAATGATAAATAGTATCTATCTGATTAGCCATCACTGTTTTCCCAACCTAGGCATTAAGTTAGATCACACTGTCGTTCAACTTTACAGGGGTTATCTGGCAGTATGTGCATCACACTACTTCCTCTTGAGCAATAATCTGTTGTGCACAGATGAGAGAGTCCTACAGAACTTCAACACAAAACAAAGTTACTACATTTGTAATTATATTAGTTGGAGCAACAACTTCTTTTTGGCTTCCAAAGACTTCCCCCAAGCAATTTTGCAGTGGTGGCCAAAAACTATGGAAACCCACAACAGCTACAATCAAGAGGAGGGAATTTTTCTCCATTTACTAGAGCTATGGATTCAAAAGTGTACAGCAGTCTCCTGTTGCTTTTTTTCTTTGTCCCTCCACACGGGTCAAGATGTAGGCTCAATCATGAAGATATGAGACAGACAGCAACAGAGTAACTAGAACCTCAAGTTTCTGGCCAGAGGACTGAAAAGGGGAGCCTTGGGAATGAGAAAGTGGCAGAGAGGTCATGGAATGGGAGGGGCACAAGAAAGCAACCTCATAAAGTTGTTTATGAATCTCAAGGAACATGCTCAAGTCACTAGTGCTCAGATCTGCTCCTACTTAGTGAACCAAAACACCTTCAGAGCAAAACTATCCCATCAACAAGGTCCCAGACTGTCTAGGTCCCATACTGAGTGGCACAAACTTGAAACGATCCAAAGAGAATCACAATCCTTGAAAAGTGACTGATACTGGAACCATAGCCTGTAGGTTATTGCAACCTGAACCTAACCAGACTGATGCCTGTTAAAACAAATAGACATTCTCCATAGAATCTAAACAAGACCCAGAATGAATCTTGTGAAATAATATTCACAATGTCCACGCTATAATCAAAGGATTATACCTGTAAAGTGCCACAAAGATTTCAACTTGTGGAATAAAAACAATAGACGAGACTGAGATAACATCAATATTGGAATTATGAGACTTTAAAGCAGCTTTTATAAAAATAGTTGAACAACCCATAGGAAATAGTCTTGCAACAAATATTAAAACAGAAGATATAAAAAAAGAACCAAATGGAAGTATTTTAACAATAACTAAAATTTAAAAACACACATACCCACAGAATGGATTCAAAAGCAAATGCAGTGGAGGAAAGGGTCAATGAACTTGAAAACAATCAATAAAAGTTATCCACTCTACGGATGTCTGGCTGGCTCAGTCAGAAGAATATGAAACTCTTGATCTTGGGGTTGTGAGTTTGAGACACATGCTGGGTGTAAAGATCACTAAATAAATAAACAAACCTAAAAAAATTATCTACTCTGAATGGCAGAGAATAATAGATGGCTGGACAGACGGACGGAAGGAAGGAAGGAAGAAAAGAAAAGAAAAAAGAAAGAACGAACAGAGCTTAGAGATCTGTGGGACAGTAAGAAATGTCTAACACTCATGTTATCAGAGTCCTGGAAAGAATGGATTCTGCATACATTGCTAAACCGAACAGTGCTGGAAAAATATTTCAAATAATGGCTGAAAACTTCCCAAATTTGGTGATATAAACCTATATATTCAAGAGGCTACACAAATTCCAGAAAGGACAAACCCCAAAATATCCACACCTAAATGCATCATAATTAAGTAACTGCAGTCAAAATCTCAAGGCTTTATTATAGATGTCAACAAGTTCATTCTGATATTTACATGGAAAGGCAAAAGAACTAGAATAGATCAAAGTTTTGAAAAAAGAAGAAAATTGGAAGAATCACACTACCTATTTTTAAGATTTACCATAAACCTAAAGTAATCAAAATAGTGTGGTATCACAGAAGGGAAAGAGACATAAATCAACATAACAGCAAAAAGATCCACACAAACAGGGCCAACTGATTTTTGACTATGGTGCTAAAACAACTCAATGGAGAAAGGATAGTCTTTTTTAAAAAAACTAATGCTGGGGTGCCTGGGTGGCTTAGTCGGTTAAGTATCCGACTTTCACTTAGGTCATGATCTCGCGGTTCGTGGGTTCGAGCCCCGCGTCGGGCTCTGTGCTGACTGCCAGCTCAGAGCCTGGAGCCTGTTTCGGAGTCTGTGACTCCTTCTCTCTCTGACCCTCTCCTGCTCACGCTGTCTCTATCTCTCTCTCTCTCTCCTAGAAATAAATAAAACATTAAAAAAAATTTTTTTTAAACTAATGCTGCTAGAGTAATTGACATCTATATGCAAAAAAAAAAAAGAACCTTTATATTAAGACTTACACTTCATACAAAAACAAACTCTAAATCTAGATCTAAATGTAAAATGCAAAACTATAAGAATTCTGTAAGAAAACATAGGATAAAATCTACATTTCTTTCAGTTTGATGATGGGTTCTTAGACATAGTAACAAAAAACATAGTCCACACAAGAAAATACTGATAATCTGGATTTCGATTTCATCAAAATGAAAAATTTCTGCTTTGCCAAAGACATGGCTGAGGGAATAAGAGGACAAGCTATGGACTAGGAGAAAATATCTGCAAATCACATATCTGGCAAAGAATTTGTGTCCAGAATATGTAAAGAATGTTCAAAACTTAACCATAAGAAAACAAACAACCCAAATTAAAAGTAGGCAAAAGACATGAACGGATGCTTCATTAAATAGGATACAAAAATGATTAATAAGCATGTGAAAAGAGGTTCACATCATTATCCACTAGGGAAATGCAAATGAAAACTATGACGACATACCACACACACTTACCAGAAGAGCTAAAACAAAAAATACTGCCAATATGAAATGCTGGCAAAGATACAGAGCAGCAGGAACTCTTTCACAATACTGGTGGGAGTACAACATGATAGAGCCACTCTGCACATCGTTTTGGAAGTTCTTATGAAATTAAATGTGCATCTACCACCTGACCAGGAATCCCACTCCTGAGTATCTACTCTAGAAAAATAAAAACTCACGTCACGTAAAAACCTCAATGTGAATGTTTTAACATTCATATATATATAATTGATAAGAAGAGGATGGGTAGAGGCATGAATATATAGGTATGGTGGGAAGGAGTGTTTTTGGTGATGAAACTATTTTGTGTCTAAATTATAAGTGTGGATTCACTGAGAATTTAAACAGCTAGAAACTACTAAACGAATGAATGAATGTAGTGTTCAGGTGTTTCTAATTTAACTACCAAACACTGGGATTTCACGACAGACCGAAAATAATATTGTTCCTTTTCTGCTGATGAATAATGCACATTTTTCATTTTAAAATTTCATTTAAATTGAGGTTAAATTACATACAGAATAGTGTCACCAGACTTAGCAAAAAAAAATAAAGGAACCCAGTTAAATTTCATTTCAAATAATCATCTGTAATATAAATGTGTCTCACATATGGAATGGGAAATACTTGTACTAATATATACACTTGTGTATACATGTATATTTAGTACAAGTATATACACACACACATACATACACACATACACAGACCCACACACACGTTTACCTGAAATTCAATTTAACTGGGGAATCTTATTTGATCTGGCAATCCTAATATAGAAAAATGCACAGATCCTAAATCCATATATTTGAATGAATTTTTGGTAAATGTTTATACCCTTATAGCCAACATCCAATCAAGATACAGAACATTTCCATTACCTCAGGTTTCCTTTTGTCCCCCGTCAGTCACTCTTCATTCTCTCCATAGGCAAACACTGCTTTCTTTTGTTGCTAAACTTCATTTAAATGGAATTGCACAGTCTTCTTTTGTGTCTGGCCTCTTTCACTTTACATATTTCTAAAATTCATTCATGTTGTAGGAGTCAATGGTTAATTCTGTTTTATTGCTAAGTAATATTCCATTGTAAAATATAGCAAATTTTAAAATCTATTCTCCTACTGATGGACATAGGGCTTGGTTCTAGTTAGGGGCTATAAATGAATAAATATGTAAAGTTAAAAGCATCCTTAAACAATTTTTTGGTCAACATTTTCATTTCTTTTGGGTAAATACCTAGAACTGATTTTGCAAGTTCATGGGTTTAATTTATAAGAAACTGAAAACTACTTTCCAAAGTAGGTATGCCAATTAATATTCCTTCCAACAGCAGGTAAATTTCAGTTACTCCATATCTTTGCAACTTTTACTGTTGTTAGCCTTTAAAATTTTTGACATTCCATTGGCTTTGTTAATTTTATTGTTTGTCCATTTTCTATTTCACCGATTTCTGCCATAATGCTCAGTATTTCCTTCCTTCTACTTACATAGTTTTTTATATACTTACCTTTTTTCTAGCTAAGATGGAAACATCATTGATCTTAAAACTTCTTTCTCTTCTAAGTTTCTAAAGCTACAAATTTCTAACTGCTTTACCTGCATCCCACAAAATTTCATATTTAATATTTTTTGTTCAGTTAAAATAAATATATTGATTTATTTTCAAATATTTTGGGACTTACAGACATCTTTTAGTAATTTAAGAAAAAAATTTTAATGTTTATTTTTGAGAGAAAGAAACAGAGTGTGAGTGGGGGAGGGGCAGAGAGAAAGGGAGACACAGAATCAGAAGCAGGCTCCAGGCTCTGAGCTGTCAGCACAGAGCCTGACATGGGGCTCGAACCCACAAATCATGAGATCATGACCTGAGCCGAAGTCGGTTGCTCAACCAACTGAGCCACCCAGGCTCCCCTTGTGATTTTTAATTCCATTGTGGTTAACAGCCAAGCATACAGTCTGCTTTGCTGAATGTTTCATACGTGCTTGAAAATAAAGTCTATTCTACCACTATTGGATGTAGTGATCAGTATCAGCTGGGTCCAAATGTTTTTTTTCCAAATTGTCAATATCTTTACTAATGTTTTGTCTATCAGTTGCTGAGTTAAAATCCTTAACTCTGATTGTAGGCTTGGCTGTATCTCCCTTTTGTCAGTTTTTGCCTCATGTACTTTGAAACTGATATTTAAGGAATATACCTTTAGGATTTTGTCTTCTTGATGAACTATCCCTTTTTAATGAAAAGTCCTTTTCTGTCTCCATTATACTCCTTCTTTTGAAGTCTATTTTATCTTCTATTAATACAGCCATTTGTTTTCTTATGTTTTCTGTTTGTATGTATAGTCTGTTTCTCCCCCATTCTTTTACTTTGATCTCGTGTCTTTATATTTATTATTGTTTAAATATTCATATCAATATAATATATTAATAATTATACAACTAATATGTTAATAATTAATATATAATATGATTAATTTATTGGCCTATAACAATAATTACATAATAATATAGTATTAAGATAAGAATATTTAATATATTGCTACATTACATATTAACATTTAATAAAATTTAACCCTCTTGTAGACAACATATAGTTGGGCCTTTAAGAAAATCTAGTTCTTTTAACCAGAGTGTTTGATTAACATTGAAGTAATTATTGGTTTGGTTGAATTTATATCTACCATTTTGCTATTTGTCTTCTATTTGTCCTATATATTTTGTACCTATATGTCCTTTTTTGCCTTTTTTTGGATGAATCATATATCTTTCAGTATTGAATTTTAATTCCTCTTTTTTTTTTTACTTCTGCCTTTCTTTTTGATAGTGGTTGCCAAAGGATTTCAATACATAACCTACATAATCTGATCAGTCTACAGTTAGTATTCTGCCACTTTAAATAAAATGTTAAGAACTCTGCCACTCTAGACTGAGAGGATTTGGTTTGGTTTTGCTTTTTAATTTCAGTCCTTTACAGATGTCTTTCTGTTGTCTCATGACCTCCATTGTTTCTGAGGTGAAGCAGTGGGTTCCCTACTCCTGGTGGCTTTTTAAGATTTTCTCTTATCTTTGGTTCTCATCCGTTTTAGCTATGATATGTTAGGTCTTTTCTTTATATTTATTCTGCTTAGAGTTCACTGAGCTTACTGGATCTATGTACTGATAGTTTCACCAAACTTGGGAAAATTTTGACCTTAACCTGCTCATAATTTTTCTGCTCTATTTTTGTTCTCTTCTTCTGGGAACCCAATTACACATGCATTGGACTGCTGAATATTGCCCCACATGACTTTAAGGCTCTGTGCTTTTTTTCTTCTTTCAAGTATTTTTTAGTCTTTATTCCTCAGGATGATTTCTACCCACCTGTCATCTGTAGTCTGCTGATAGGTCCAACCAATTTGGTTTTTGCTTCCATTTCTCTGACAGAACCCATCTATATACATTCTTTACAACTACTTTTCCTAGTCATTGTTGATATGCTAAAGAGACTCAATTTGTTATCATGCCCTGGAAGTGTGAAGATTTGTTCCAGCAGTTAGTTAAATTATAGACTAATCACTTTGATTTTATGGAGAATTGACTTTACATTATGTTAAAGGCTTTGTCTTTGGTTTTAGGTAAATCTTTAGTCCTGGGCATAGTCTCTTCTAGTACACAGCCATTCTAGAGATTTGACAGAAAACCTAGGGTGCTTACCAAGCCTTCTTACTTGTCAAGATTCAAACTCAAAACTGTTTTCCCTTGCAATACAGAACAAGCTTTGCTCAGATTTTTCAGCCTTCCAGCTATGGCTTTCCACTAGGTTCATGGAGTCTTCCCCTGTACAAAGCACAATTCAGGAGTTAGCCAAAGAATTAAGAGATTCATATGCAGGGGCGCCTGGGTGGCTTAGTCGGTTAAGCGTCCGACTTTCGCTTAGGTCATGATCTCGCGGTTTGTGGGTTCGAGCCCCGCGTCGGGCTCTGTGCTGACTGCCAGCTCAGAGCCTGGAGCCTATTTCAGAATATGTATCTCCCTCTCTCTCTGACCCTCCCCGGCTCACGCTGTCTCTCTCTCTCTCCTAGAAATAAATAAAAATATTTAAAAAAAAAAAAAAAAAAAAAGAGATTCATATGCAGATTGGGAGGCTGGCTCCTCCTTCAATACCACCTCCATTTCTAGAATTTCCTCCTCAGTTTATAGCGCCTCTAGCCGCCCCCAACTCCTCTGACACCTCAAGTCAATAAACCTCTTGAGTTCTAGCCATCCCTTACCGGAGAGACTGGGGAATGGCCTGAGGGAAAAAGCTATATATAAGCATAGTTCTCAGCCTGCTTTCGGTCATTCCGTAGTGTTTTTAGACAGTTATGGTTTTCCCAAAGTTTTAATTGGGAGGGCTTGTACATTACAAGCTTTTCCACCATTACCAAAGCCAGAAGTCCTTCCTGATGTAATTCTTCAATGCTTGCTTTAATGCCTCAGAAGAAAACAACACAGGGCTGGTACTTAAATGTCCTTGGCTCTCTCCCCTTTTGTATAACAGATTAAAAATGGAATATTTATATATGTTAAAATACTTTTTATCTCAAATAAGTCAAAATAATCTCTTATTAATTAATGCTCCCAGGAAGTAGGGAAGTATATGTTCAAATTCCAATAAATTTTACAAAATTTAAGCTATGGCTGATTACGCCATGGAAATATTTAGAGTTAGACCAACTAAACTAGCATATAGCAAAGCTATTTCTGTTATGAGCTAACAAAAAGTACCAGAATTACAGTTATGAAATATAATAAACAGAGAGCTGTTTACAACTAGGAAAAAGAATGTGACTACTTCCGTACATACAGTGGCATATTACTGAGTTAAGGGGTATGACAAATCTTGACTAACCTGTGAAACTTAAATTAAGTGTGAATCTTCAGTTTTTTTAAAATTGTACTTTATAGTCATTAAGTTTTCCATTTGTCCACTTGGATGTGAAAGATGCTATTTAAAACCAAACAGCAACTGTACATGGCTGGCTGAACATTTATAATTCAACAATTATATAACCTCCAAAATACAGCAGAATATGAACCACATAATCAGGATGTCAGCTAAACAAGACCAGGCAATTCAGAAGGATGTCATTTTGTGGCATGTGCTCAGCTGAGCTTGAAGTAAGTAGGACTGTCGGGCGCTGTTTACTCTTTCCACCTCTGTTATATGCACTAATACCGACTCCTGTCAGACAACTCATCTTGTGGTCAGCACAGCTGACTTTTTAAGAAAGAAGAAAGTTCCACATTGTATAAACTCATTTCATAAGTTAAAACTGCTTTTAAATAACTCTGTCTATGAATATCTCTCCGCAAGTTTTCAGGCTTGGTGTGCTCCATGTGTGTGCATCCCCCCAAATCACCAAAATAGCAGCAACAACTGGTGATGTCCCAATGGAAAAAAACTCACTGCCACAGGAAACCAAGTATTATTGGGTCAAGATCTTTCTTCTTGGTCTCTTGCTTTATAATTATTAGGTACATCAAGAGAACTATTCATTATACAAATATGGGTATGTGCATGTATGACTGAAATTAACATCTAACAACAGAAAATGTCTCTATGCTTACAGTCCATCACTGCTTTTGGATTCTGCGCCATTTTCTGATATGGAAAACAGACTTAGCATCTCCACCTCCAGTGGATGCATGTTGTCTCCGGTGATAATTAAGGAGTGTAATGGTCCTCCCAAGTCCACAGTACACATCTGCTGCAGAGTGCCTGCTGCAATTTTCTGGTCCTCAGCTCCAACCCTGGCTAATCCAACACAGAGTGTCTTCTCAGTGACTGCTATTTAGAAGAAGAAGAAAAACATACTGCCAATCAGCAAATTTAATGTCTGTCCAACATTAAAACTAACATTAGTGCCAAAAGTACATTTAAAGAAGCCCTGAGTATCTTAAATCTCCTTAGTCATTTATTACAGACCAATTATCTACTGATTTACCTAAGGCTTTTCTAAGTTATATGCACTACCTGACATATACAGCAGTTCTTCCTAATTTTACCCTTTCGAGATTCCAAAGGTTTGCCCTGGTTTAAGATTTCAGGATTTGATAAACAATTGCCTATATCCATACTCTTTATGACTGATGAGCATTTGTCTTTTTTTTTTTTAATGTTTATTTATCTTAAGAGAAAGAGAAAGAGAACATATGCACATGAGCAGGGGAGAGGCAGAGAGAGAGGGAGACAGAGAATCCCAAACAGGCTGTGCTCTGTCAGCACAGAACCTGATGCAGGGCTTGAACTCACGAACTGTGAGATCATGACCTGAGCCAAACTCAGATGCTTAACCAACTAAGGCACCCAGGAGCCCCAGCATTGGTTTTTAAATAGCTTCTGAGTGAACAATGTTTATTACCTGCCTATATATATATTTTTTTAAAAGCACTTTTGAGTGTTTTTTTAAGTTTATTTATTTTGAGAGAGAAAGAAAGCAAGTGAGACTGGGGGAGGGGCAGAGTTAGAGGGAGAGAGACAGACAGAGAAAATCCCAAGAAGGCTCTATGCTCAATTTGGAGCCTGACATGGGTTGATCTCAAGAAACGTGAGATCATGATCTGAGCTGAAATCAACCTGCCTATATTTTTAATAAATTGCTTGATATATGTTCACAGTGACCAAGATATACTAGAAAAATGGGGGAGTATGAGATAAATACACAGATTTGAGTTTTTTCTTGGCCACCTAATCAGCTATGTCAAACTTCAGTTTTTTTCATTTTTGAAAACAAAATACTATCTTTCTTAAATGGCAGTTGTAAAGGATAAGATAATAGACATTAAAGTATTTGATAAACTACAGAGCCCATAACAAATAATGGGCATAATGACATTACTTATGCTTTTAAGTGCTGACCTTTTCACAGTTTTGTTTAGTTGGGAAAGGTGTCCTGAGTGAACAATGATCAAAATGGGGCAAATGAGGGGCATCTGGGGTGGCTCAGTTGGTTAAGCGTCTGACTCTTGATTTCGGCTCAGGACATGTTCTCACAGCTTGTGAGTTCGAGCCCTGAATCAGGCTCCATGCTGGCAGTGCAGAGACTGTTTGGGATTCTCTGTCTCCTTCTCTCTCTGCCTTTCCCCTGCTCACTCTCTCTCTCTCTCTCTCAAAATAAAGAAATACATTTTTTTTTTTTAATGGAGGAATGATATCCACAAGGACAAGCAGACATGCAAGCTTAGGCTTAGGGGTACAAAATTATAGATATGGAATACCCTTATAAATTATGTTTCATGACTTTAATGAGGCCTGGTAAGGAGGAAAAAATAAGCAACAGTCATTCAAGAATCTCTTCATGTATCTTTTCTTTCAAGAGATAGGTGCTCAAAGGCAGTCAGCAACTTAGAAGAGAACATAATGACAAGTTCTTTTAAGAGCCTCTCAATAAAGATCTACTGATGATAAACGTTTTATTATATACCATATACTGTGTCTAGATATTATGAATATAAGGATAAGTTCTCTTGTTTTTATCCTGAGGAAAACTATCCCTAGTCTCAGTGTGGACAAAGAAAAAAAGCAGAATAAGTGTATTTTTGCAGGATAGATCTTACCATAAATTTAGACTAAAAAAGGAAGCTCTGCATTTTACCTATTTATATATTAACATATTTACATTAAATCTGATTTATAGTTAATTTGTGGAAAATCCTCACTTTCTTGAATGGTATTAATGTTCCTAGGAAGAACCCCACTATTTTTCCTTCAGTATTACTTTCAGCCTAGGAAATTTAAGTGAAAACTGGAAAAAAAAAAAAAGACCAGAAAAAGTACTATGGAAACACACTGACCCTCGCCTCAGTAGTGGGGTATGTGTGTGTGAAGTTACATCATGTGCACATCTCAGAACAGCAGTAGAGGAATATGAGAACCCTTTTAGGGCCTTTGAGTACCTGGTTCTTCTCCTCGTATTCTCTGATTCTGAACAATCTCCAGAAGTTGCTGGGCTGCTTGGTTTACAGTCATATACCGAGGAGGTTCATAGATCTTCCTGCCCCTGTAAATATAAAACTAGATGCCACTGTTCTTAGCCATGAAATTACATAATACATCTTTAATGCAATTATTCCCCCAGGAATACTCAAGTACCACAGTCTACATTATGTAGAATGTAGCATCCACACGTTACCCATTTAAGTATACACTAAAGCATGAGTATCATAATTGTTTAAGCTTTTTTCACTATTCTACTTCAACTGTCTTCTGATCTCACAGAAATGCTGTCAGATATAGAAGTCCAATAACTTAATGATAAACGTCTAAATCAAAGTTACTTTTATTTAAAATGATACCCTAGGCAAAAATAGTTCAATTAAGCAGCAATTTGTTCTAGATCCTGGCTTAATCAAGTTCTATCGTGTTCATTTTCATTACCATGTTTAAACCGCATATTCCTCTTTTCTCTTCTTCCTCTAAAAAAAGTAAACTAAAGTGGTAAGTATCTGAAAATCTTGAAGTGTTAGATATGTTTACTTTTGACACCTCAAAGCCTACCATGTCTGCCCAATGATCATAATAAAAATACTGCTTTCGTAGCTTACAAGTTTGTACCGATTATTTTACTAACTCAAAAATATTCTCAAAGTCAGCACTGTCCAAGAGAAATATAATGCAAACCACAAACATAGTTTTAAATTTTCTAGTAGTTGTGTTAACAAAAGGAAAAAAATAAAAGGCAAAAATACTATTTTACCCAATGTAGTCACAATGTTACATTTCAACAGTAACTCCTATAAACATTATTAGAGTTTTTTTTTTTACTAAGTTTTTGACATCTGGTATCTCATGCTTATAGCATTAATTAATTCAAGTGTCAAATTTTCATTGGAAATACGTAATCTATATTTAAATTTCATAAAATTCATGGTTATAAAAGTAGATTTACACAGTGAAGTTATTTCAGATATAATTTTCCAATAACTGAGTATTTGTATTAATTAAAATTAAATGATAAATTCAGTTCCTCAATTACATTAGCCATATTTCAAGTGCTCGTTAGTTATACATAGGTAGCAGCTACTGTCTTGCACATTGCCTCAATAAGCAAAAAAAAAAAAAAAAAAAAATTTAACACTTATTACACAGAGGAGGAAAAGAAGACTCAGAAACGGAAGTAACTTGCCTAAGGGCAGAGAACCAGCGGCAGACTTAGGACTCAAATCCCCTCTTCTGACTCCCAATACAATAATTCACACCACAAGTATTTACAGACTGCCTGTTAGGTGTTGACCACCGTCACAGTGCTGATCTATGAGATCTATTGCTATTTCCACCCTATCACACTGCTTATCACTCTGTATGATGAGGCGATTAATTTCTACGTGTTAAAGGAAAACTGATTTTCAACAATCTTTAGAACTCCTGTCCTTTAAGTAAAATTTATTGTACAAGGAATTAAAAACCAACATAAGCATTCTCAGAATAAGAACTTACTTGATTAGATTTTCCAAAGACTGCTCCTTTACTTTGATGTCTGTAGGAAGTGAAAAATAGTTTAATTAACTACTTTATCCAAAACCCTGTGTATAAACTTCAGTTGAGTTGTTTAAATTTGGGGGAAGCACTTTTCTCAAGTCTCCAAAATATTCATTTCAGAGCTCAAGACAGTCTTCCATCACACTTGTATCTAGCTACTTTTTTATAGAAATATAGAGAAGAATGGAAGCTTGTGGTATGTAAAGGTCATTAGTTAGAAAACAAACATGAGGTTGGCCCTGAGACCATCCTGAAACGATCTAACTTCCTCTTGGAAAAGAAGACACAGGAAAGAGTTAGATAAATATTGGCATATACACTACCTAACAGCTAATCAAAATCTTTGTGTTCATTTCTACTCGCTGGGAACTGCACAGACCCGACTGAGAAGTCTTACGTTCCTATTCTTCACCTATTTATCAGGCACTGGGATGTAAGCTTTAATGCATGTAATATGACAAAAGAAACTTCTCACCACATTTTGAAAAGAAACCTTTGCTTTCTTGTGAATGGTTAAGATATGCCTAGTAACTTATAAAGAAACCCTTTAATACCAATCACTCATACTTTCAACAGAGCTTTCCCAAGCACCGACTGCCAGGTGTGTGCTACCACAGAGGCCAGAACGCACATCGTCTCTGCTCTCATGAAATGCAAATGTCACAAATACTTGATTCTTTATACTTCTTAATCACTGATGCTCAGCCAAACAGTCTGCTAAAAGGTAAAGAAGCACGATCACTCTACATCCTCACAGGAACTCAGTATACAACAGCAAGAGCAACAGCTGCTTCCTGTTCCACGTGCTAAAAACAAATGGTTCAGCCAAAGTCTGCTTTTGCAAAAATAAATACAGTGCAACTGAAGGGTCTTTTTGATAGATTTCTACAGCGTTCCTAACTGATTACCAAAGTTCTTCTTATAAAGGAGAGTTTCCTAGCAAAATACAGCAGAGGTTTAAGCCCTTATAAGTATTTATAAATGTTCTTGGAACGAGCGGTGAATGTACTTTTCAGGTTCGAAATATCATTGTTTAATTTTTCCACTTGTCTAGCACATAGAAGAAAAAATGCGTATTAGTTATTGAAAATGGCCTGCAATACAGTTAACGGTATACGTCAACTTAGACTTCCTTTACACGGAATCTGTGAGATTTTTAAAAATTCAACACATTTAGTTCATTCACCTTGAGGTTCTGAAATGTTATGAGAGTAACATTTTTAGTTTAATATTTTATCTTTTTAAATGATCTGCTCTACAGACCCTGGTTTTAAATATGAAGAGGGTTGAGGAGAATTTTTACAGGCAAATGCTTTTTGATCAAACATGAGACTGCATTATGAAATATTTAATCTCAAGCCAGACCAGTCTTAATACTCCTCCCTTGTCTTCACAGAGGCCATAATCATTCCTTTCTATTTCTACTTGTTACAAGGTAAGAGTTTCCTTTTCACATTAGTGCCAGCACCTTGCATAACGCAAAGTGCCCAGTAGACATTCCATAAATGTCTACTGAATAAATGTATTCATGTGGCTCTGCTACCACCCACACGTCAGACCATCTTAAACTACCCCTTAAGTTAACATAAGTCCCAACTCCTTCATAAAGCCCACGTTAACTTCCCCTTAAAAGCTGTTTGTTCTCCGAAATATCTATATAGTTATTACCATATTTTGTTAATCTTTAATTATATCATATATATCTGGTCTTTTCAAGTAAATTTTAAATTCTCTGTAGTTTCCTAACATGGTATATTCTCACTAATCCTTCCAGGGTCTGGACCACAGCAGACTTTCAATAAATACATATTAATTCAAATGATGGAGCATTCCAGATGATGAAATAATGAGATCTATGGTTTGAGGATTTGAAATAATGGTATCTTACACTTCACACCTTGTTCCTGTTTTTGTTAATGGAGCAAGGAAGATATATTGTTTAGCCTTGTTTGTCTTTTCCCAGGAAAGCCAAGAAAAGGGGTAGCTCTTAGAAAGAGAATTCAAGAGCCAAAGTTCTGGTTTGTCCTTCCTGCCTCTTCATACAACAGAATTTTAATTGTTCTTTAAACTTTTGTATACATAACAACTAAATTTCAAAACCCTGAGGGCAGGACCCAGATCTAATACTTCCTTAGTATTCCAAAATTCTCTAACTCTGCAACGGGCATAAGGTTTAGCATGATATAATAAAAAGCTGAGAATGACAGGCTATATGGATTCTATGAACCCTACCACCAATAAACAGTGGGAAAATGATTAAATATCTCTGGGCCTCAACTTCATCTGTAAAATGGGCTTCAATAAGATGATCTCCAGAGTCTCTCTCAGATCTGTAATTCTGACAGCATCAATACTGTAGTATTCAAAGAATATCTCTAGGAAGACAAAGGATGGCACTAGATCAGAAAAAATGCTTAATACAGGTGTGCTAAACTACATTAACTGACAAGAATAGGGTCTTGATGGATAAAATGGGTAAGATAAGAGAATGCTGGAGTGGATCCAACAGGGCATTAGAAGGGAGTGGCAGGAACCATGGTATGCACGAGGGAAGAGCCATGTGGTATTTGGAGCAGAAAATGCTTATCTCCCTGAGAGTAAGGGAAGTGTATGGCACGCAGAAGGCTACACCAGGTCCTTTCTTAACCTCCAGCTAGTTATGCCCAGAACAGCTTTACTTGAACACAAAATCAAAATGAGAACAATAAATGACTCAATATTGTGACTTTAAGGAAATCCCAAAGCCCTCACCTAGTAAGCATAACGTGTGCATGCCGTTTTGTCTGTTCTTCTTCACTTTGTCAAAGAAGCTTTCTGGTCTCCAAGTGTCTGTCCAAAAAACAATAGAAACCGTCTCTCCAAACTTATACAACTAGAAAAAGTAAAAACATTAATTAATGATAGAACAAGTTACTACTTACTATTTCAAAGATAACAATCAAAACAAAAAGTAAGAACCAGACTTGATATGGGTTGGGGATCAAATCTGTCACAAAATAAACAGTCCCTTGGGTCCACAGCAGCTGGTGTCTCTCTGAAGCCCTTTGCCACAGTGCTCCTGGTAGTTCAGCATTCGGGACAGCAACATACGTAACCGATTCATGATTAGCTATGCAGTTGCTAACAATACTGAAATAGAACCCAGGAGGAAATAAACAAAGACTTCTGAGCAGTCAGAGCAGTGACTGTTCACTAGGTTAATTTTATTATATTCACTCTACACATGAAACCAGCAAGGCTCAGAAATACCAAGCTGATCTGCCTAGGTCACACAGCTAGTGAGTAATGAAAAAGACTCAAACTGAGGTCCAAGAAAAACTCCTTTCCACCACACCAGCTCAGGACAATCCAGACATTGTATATTCACTGCAGCTATTTTTCAAAACCTAACCCCTTACTCTACCCACGATTTGATTACTCACTAGAGAATTCAACTGAAGGTTTGCCCAACCCCCTCCTTTCCCAAGTGGCCCACCCACCCCACTTGAGCATCACACAACCAAGAGGCTTGCTTCATTCTGGCTTGCTTCCAATCTGGCTGCACAGCTCACTAAAGTGAGCCCAACTCCACATCTTACACTAAGAAAATTCAGTTCTGAGTCCTGGTTCTGCAACCTGTTAGCTGTGTGACATTACTCCTTCTAAGTCTTGATGTCTAAAATAGGGATAGTAAAAACATACTGTCCTTCCTCCTCATAGGGTTGTAAACATGTAAGAAGTTACTCAAACTGTGAAATAATATGCTAATATTAGTTCTTATCTAGGCACAATGCAAAGGATAATTAAATTCAAAGACTTAAAACATAGTAAAATATAAAACTAAAGTTGTTATGTAAAGATTTAATTATTCAATTCAAACAGTGCTTGAAAGAATTTATAATAGAACTGGAAAGCACTAGACATGGGAAATCAAATCTAGTCCTCTGCCGCACACTGTGCAAAGGACAGTACTGAGCTTTTCTAAGCCCAACATTTTTCATTTTTCAAATGAAGAACTGGTCTCCAGAAGGGATCATCATCCTGAGGCTTCTCAAATCAGTTTTCAGAAGCAGCTGCAAGATGTAAGGGGGAGGTCGAAAGAACAGAAATAGAAAAGCTGGGGTATTCAGGGCTCTCTACCCTTCATCCCCAGGAAAGCTCAAATTTTCTCGCTTTTTGTACACTGAGGTCCTAAACCCTGTAACTGATACTCTTAATGGTGACTTTGAGTTCCTAAGGGAAAGTCATCTAGCTCCTCACATGGCCACAACTTCCAACTTACCTACCAATAGGCTTTATTCCCAAAGTCTACTTAGAAACTGTCTAAAAAGGTGTACAGAAGCCATGCCGTCCCCTGGCAAATTCTGAGATTAGTGTGGAAAGACCCATGTAACTGCAGAATTCAGAGTCAATGAATCTTCTTGCCACATCTAACAAGGTTTCTCAGTGAAAAATGCATCCAGCTGATGAGTTCCAATGCAGGATTCCTGGAATGCCTTCACCCAAGCTGTGAGGAATAGGTGTAGCCCTGTTGGGGTGGGGTTGGGGGCGGGGGTTCTGCTATTGTTACCGTTCTATGAGAGGCAAATTTATCTAAAAAATATTTATTCTAGATCATCCACCATGTGCCACGCATTATGCTATGCACAGGTGTAAAGTGAGAAGCCAACCAGAGCTCTAGCCCTCATGGAAAATGCAGTCTTGTGTATACCTCATGGAGCAGGCAAGAGCTCTGAAGTCAGGGCTCTGGGTCTTAACAGATGTATAACCATGGACAAGTAACCTTGCTGACTTCAAGAGAAACTCTCTGGGGAAATGTGTGTAACTATAAACCTAATAATGTGCTTGCTTTTTTTTTTTTTAAGGATTAAATGACAGAAAGTACACAGAACAGAACGACTAGTACATCACACACAGTAAAAACAATAAATGTTAGGGATTTGAGGATATAATAATATGCTTATAGTGATATAAAAATGTTCTAAAATGCTGTGTCTTGCTATAATCCAAGTGCTTTCCTTACTGGAATGAGCTCAAAAATATTACCAAATATTTGAAGCTATGTTTATGATTTCATTCTGACAAGTTCAACTGTTTACATTCTAAAAAGGATTTTTGGCATCTCTGATCAGATTCTGAAATATTAGTATTACTCTGTAAAAAGTAAAACTATTGAGGTTAAAGAAAATTACATATGCAACCATATATAAACTCTAAATGGATCTTCAGTATTTTAAGAGTCATGGAAATATACTCCTAAAGGTAAATTCTTCATCCAGAAAGAAAGGGATCGATGATTTCAGAGAGAATTAAGATGCCAGTCACATATAAACACTAGCTACAGTATGCTGTGGAAAGCTTCTTGGAATTGTCTAATTTGGAGGATTAAAAGAAAGCCTCACATAAGCGCTGCTTTCTAGGACCCTGATTTATAGACTGTAACCATTCCCATGGCTGTGCTGCAAACTTCTTCAATGAGTTCTGGAACATTATGCAAAGAGTTTCACCATTTAAGATGTCAGTCCCTCAAAGAACAGAAAGATCAGTGCTGTGTTTCACAATCCAAGGACTTACCAGTAAACCATAAAAGAAACTAGAGTACAACAGTGTCGAGAACGGAGGCTGCAGAAGTCTGAGCACTGTCTTATACGTGTTAGCCTTTGTGCTGTGATCACTTTCCCCCAAAACAGTACTGATGCAAATCTAATTTAGAGACCACAAAAAGAGCTGTTTTCTAAGAACAGTAGACAAATATGGGTCTTTTGTTTTAATCTGAAGCAAGTTATAAAGAAAGCGGTTTATCCAACTTGATATTGGATCGTGTTTTTATCTGCTGAAGATAAGAACTCAAAATGATCTAATTAACATATAAAGCAATATCTAGTTAAAGCGAGAAGATGCACAAGAAAGACAAATATTAGGTAGTAAATAATTCTAAAAAAAGATATAGACCATACTGAAGGAGTTGAGCATTACTCCCACTTGGAAAGCACCTGAAGATAACTTCTGAAGATAGGATACAGGTTGGAGCTTAAAGGGTGGAAAAGATGGAGGAAGTTGATCATGGGGGAAGAACAAGATGGCAGGAACAACCTAAGGGAGGTGGGAACTGTTGGGCAATATTTAGCATGGCATTAAGCAATTATCTAGAAATAGCTACTGCCCGACTTGCCTCTAACAAGTATCTCTTAATTCCTGACAGCTTTACCATGTGCCAATTCCTGTCAATGCCAGCTCTATAATTTACCTAGAACTGATTTCATTCATTTTTTTCACTACCTTGAGTCCTTAATGCCACTTGCCTGAATGACCTTAATAATCTTCTAACTGATCTCACTGCCATCAATGTTTACTTCCTTTCAGAAGCACAGATGCTTTGTAAAATCCATTTTTATATTTAGGATTTAATACTTTTGTCATTCTACATTCAGATAGTTTGTGATTGGGGTGCTTGGGTGGCTCAGTTGGTTTGAGTGTCCAACTCTTAATGTTGCCTCGGGTCACGATCTCGCAGTCATGGGATCCAGCCTCCCTGGGATTCTCTCTTTCCCTCTTTCTGCCCCCAGCCTCAAAATAAACAAACATTAAAAAAATAGTTTGTGATTTTTAAGTTAAAAAGTATCTTCTCTACATACAGAAAAATCAGAAAATTTAACTTGCTATTAAGAACTCTGTGAAGCCCTACATGTAACATTTATAATATAAACATAAATCCTAAATCAGATCACTTAAATCTGTGAGGTAAAGAAAAGCTGAGCCAGCAAAGATGTCAAAAAACTCACCACAAACCACATAATCAAGAGTTACTGGTTTTCTATATAGAACACTAGTCGTGGAGTTGGTTTCTTAAATCTCCACATGCATTTTGCTTAACATTTATGTAACACTGGTTTTGCTGACACTAAAAAAGATTACGCACATGCCCACTGTATTACAAGGTACATAAAGTTGGAGACAAAAGAGCTACAAAATGTATGTTATCACACAGAAGTGAGAGAATCCACATATGAATTAAATGAAAGAATTTTAATTTAAAGCACATAATTCCAAAAATAAACCAACGTGGGCTGGGATGGGAAGGGTAAGTAAATAAATAAGCAATTCCAACTCAGCAAATATTTGTTGCATTTTGATTATATGCTTTGGCACTGCGATAAAGTGCAATGGAAGGTGTGAAGATGTGTAAATCAAGAAGTTTATCTGCCCAACACAGAAACACATAAAGTAACTGAATATTCTGTACAGAATGAAGATTCACCAGGATTGTGCAAGCAGAAGAATGGTACAATGACATCCGCAATTTAAAAATAAAACGATTAAGTGGAAGAGAAGATGGCTATTAAAATATTGACTAAAAACAGTCATTGTGGAAATGGAAAGAAAAACATTTTTAATATGCCCATGATCCCGCAGGTGGTCAAAATAATTCCAAAGTGACTAAAAGAACAGGAAGCTTCCTTAGATGCATTCTTCTAAGGTTACATAGCAGTGCAGAGTGAGGGATCCCCCTCATTACCTAGTGTAGTGTTCACTGTACAAGGTTAGACTTTATCGTTTCTGCATTAGTCCCTGGACAACAATGAAATCAATTCAATGCTTTTGAAAACGAACAGTAAAAACTACTATAAGGTCAAAACAATGCTGACTATCACAATTCGAGTGTTGTGTTATGAAAAAAAGGAAGGAAATGAGTTGTTACTTTTTAAAAGTAATATACATATTTTCCAAAGTAGAAATGTATTATATAAACAGAGGAACATATGGCAATAATCAAGGTCACTCATGCAACAGCCAGAGAAAGTGGAAGCATTTCATAATGATGAAAAAATGATACAATCTTTTCCCTGAAGTCAGCCACAACTGATAATGCAGTTTTTATGCAGAAACCATTGC